AGAGAGAGAGAGAGAGAGAGAGAGAGAGAGAGAGAGAGACTGACCTTGTTGGCTGGCGGTGTTGTCGACGAGCGTCGCTGGAGCGGTGAAAGTCCTGGCAGCTGCTGTTCTCGGCGATGGCTCCTGGCAGTGGCTTCGGCGGCGATGGCTCCAGGCAGTGGCTTCGGCCGCTATGGCTCCAGGCGCTGGCTTCGAAGAAAGGCGGCGCTCGGGAAGCTGGCAGCAGCGGCTGGCGGGAGTTTTGAAAAAGGCAACTTTGAAAAAGACCCGCCAACCACCTATGACCCCACCCCAGTCGCCTGTGTCCGGTCGGCTAACCTAGGTCCGGCAGGCTGAAAAGGAACCGACAAATCGGCCCCGTATTTTTCAGGGGGCGCCCAGGACCCGAAAAACGTCCTGGGCAGCCCCCCCTTTTTTTCTTTTTTTTTGACCAAGGGCCCTATTCCGGACGCTACCCACCGGACACCGGACCTGTACATTTTGCTACGGACTGTCTGGAAGCCCATCCAGACGTCCGGTCGGTAGCCATGAAAAAAACCTTGAGAAATTTCAGAAATCTGAAATCTTCAAATCTCATCAGAGGAAATCCCTATGGCCCAAATGATATCAAATTTGCCACACAGCAACCTTAAACCAAAACAAAAACAGGCAAAACAAACCAACAAACAAAAAAAAAAAAACATAAAATTTGTCCCCCCCGTTAGTCAGGAGCTGAAAGTGGGGGTCCTGGTTAACCACTTGTGCACTCTCTCTTGGACTGGATAGGCCCTCCAGAGGTCGGATACACCTTTCCGTCCATATGGACCAAAATGTGACCTCTCTGATCATGCCGAACCAGTTGCTCTCCGTCTTTAGAAAGTTGGCGGGGATGTTAGTCCATAGGAGGAGTTGGATGGGGTGTTCGGGGAAGGGGGTAGGGAAAAGGGATTCCCAGAGATCGGATGCCCTAGCCCAGTATTCAGTCTCCTCGCTACATCATATTAAGCAGTTATCATGTCTTCTGGTGCATTGTCCGAGCATACCACGCATATGTCCGAGCTGTTGCGATCGTTCGGATTCGTTCGTCCTGATATTGACTCAACAATTTGGTGGCCTACCGTCTTCACCCAAGCAGAATGCCTGGACATCATAGCTGTGTTGGCTCAACTTTCAGTCCGGATGCAGTGGTAATGACTGGGTGTTCTATTGGGGTGAAGATGATGGTGCTCATTGCAAAGAGGAAGAAGAGCAGGACGAAGAGTAGGGAAAGGAGAATGAAGATCAGAAAGCCACATATCTCTCCTTACTCACATATCCACTCTACGGGAGAGAGAAAGAGGGCAAGTCTGACAGCAGCGGCAATAAGGAGAGAACAGCTGGAACTCTCTCTCTCTCTCTCTCTCTCTCTCTCTCTCTCTCTCTCTCTCTCTCTCTCTCTCTCTCTCTCTCTCTCTCTCTCTCTCTCTCTCTCTCTCTCTCTCTCTCTCTCTCTCTTGCTTGTGTGGACGAAGGTTAGCAAAGCATGCTCGTATGAAAGCGTCCACCAAATAGTCATATAGTGGGTAACTGTACCCACAAAAGACTAGAGGGGGAGAGGAGGGGGAGAGGTTCTTCATGAGAAAGACTTCAAATGTAGACCACCAGTATGAGCCCCCTTCCTCCGGAACTCGCTGTCTTACTCAAGGGGGTTGCACAGCCCCCTTCCTGAAAAACTTGCGGCCGTATACAAGGGGGCTGCACTTTCGGTGGAACAGCCTGGTGCGGACCGGCAGGACTCATTCGGGTGCAAAAAATTGAGGTTCAGAAATTTATGGTCCGTCATAACGATGGGATAACATAGCGCACCTAGAGATGTAGAGGGGTCATGGACTACGGCTCGAAGGTGGCAATGCCTTACTGCAAGTTGCCAAATTGATGGAGTAGGGAGACGTATGCTTCCAAACTGCACGTGATAGTTTCCCATCATACGGCTCTCCGCCACGAGTCCTTGTTCGCTAATGTTCTCGCTAACAGAACAGGTGGGGAGATGAATGGCTGACCCAGGGTTGCAAAATGCATGAAGCTATAACCTACTAGCAGCGCATTCTGATAATCTCGGAGGGAGCAACCAAGAAAAACAAAACTATTCCTGCTTTTGTCTGAGGTGAGGCGAAGTAATTGCCAGTTATAAAAGCTGAAGACATGGCTGTAAAGAGCAGCTCTTAGGTGGTCTCATAATCAATATGTTAAAGCTCGGATGTGATGACTCTCAATCGACAGCTCAGAATCACATTTTCTGTGCTTCCTAGTTCCCATGCGTTCTTTCTGGTCCTGTGTCCTTTATCAATTGACTTGTTTGTCTCTTCTGTTTTTGTCCATCAGCCCATGCACCTCACTGTTCGCCCATTCTCCACCAGCACACAGCAATTTCGCTGTGCTTTGTTAAAGGGCAAACTCTTGGCAGAGGGATATTCTGAGTTAAGACTGTACTCGCATCTTGCTGGTCTTGTGCACCATTGTTGTGATATCTCAATGCTTATTTGTTGTGCTTGGTGCTGCCAACATCCACGAGGTATTTCTGCGTATGTTTGTCGACAACTGGGTGTGGTGCTCATGGATGGTGCTCATGGACTGGTGTGCATGGATCTTGAGCTGCATTGTGAAGTCTCATTGTTTCTGTTTCCACTTGTCAACCTGTTTTCATGCTCAGCACCGAGAGCTATGGGTTACCTCGGAGGAGAAGGTGTTGGATGCGGTAATGATCTGGGCTGCCTCATGCACAGTAAGTGGATGGGAGGCTGCTGAGGGCATGTTGGTCACTGAAGGTGTGGACAGGCTTCTTTCAGGAAGAAGAGAGGAAATGGAAAGGCTTCTGCATCTTGTCCGATTCCCGCTCATGCCACGGTTGCTTCTGACAAAGGTATTGAATCTTTGGCCACTTCTGAAATTACAAGGGTTATGTTACCTCTCTCACCCACCTGCCTGATTGTGCTCGGGAGCAATACCTTGCTTTATGTGACGCGGCCAAAACTTGCTTCTTATATTGTGAACTTGTATATGGACTGTGTATAGTAAAGCTACCAGGAAGGCACATGGCGTTTCACCTTTGGTATATTTTGCATTTGTGCAAGAAAAATAAGAGCCGCTGTTGTATGCACCACACGGGCCCTTTGGGCCCGTAGTAGGTTAGAGCGTTAGCCAGAGGTTAGGGGTCTGTTAGCTCTCCTTCTCGAGCCTCATCAGTCTTCCATTAGCTAGAGTCCGCGCTTCCCCTCCAGTCCGCATGTATCTGACTGCATATGAGGGCCGATACAGGCCCAGTGGCCATCACTTAGGCCAGGCACACTTGGCACCAGTCCGCAGACTCTGCAGTTTCGGCGCGAGTCTTTTTTCGTTACCAGTCTGGGCGCCAGTTCGTGGCTCCAGTTCGGAGGCTCACTTCAGTTGGGCGCCAGTCTTGGCTACGCAGCAGTAGACCCAGCGGTCTATATAGCTGGGCCATCCGCATTTGTGACACACACAGTTGGAAGCAGAGTAGTCGACGCACTGGGCGCAGTAGCAGTAGACTTCAGCTCTGGGCGCTCTTCATGTTGACGACATCAGCTTTGAGCTTGGACCGCAGCACACAGCAGATGGGGCTTAGAGGAGTAGAGGATTAGGCGGAGGCCAGGGGACTTACCTGTCGACTTACCTGCGACGCCATAGCTCCAGCTTTGTCTTCAGCCTGTCCATACCTGCATCAAGGCGCCACCTTTCTGCAGGTCAGTACCTGGTTACATCACACACACACACACACAGAGAGAGAGAGAGAGAGAGAGAGAGAGAGA